TTATAATATTGATATTGTTTAGTAATTTTTTGTTTATAAAAGTATATTCTCTAATCCTGTTAGGAAGTAATTTTACTTTTCCTTTTTTTCTTTCTTAAGTGCAATTTAAAAGCATGCCCTATCGTCCTCCCTCCCCCCTCAAACATGCACACGTAAATGCACCCGCACACGCATACGCACACACGAAAGCGAACAAAGTTAATTTCCAAGACATGCATTGGGTTTTATGATTTAGTCTTTTCTATTTGTTCCTCCAGGGCTAGATAGCATTTTCATGCATGTCAAAATGCAGCATGGATACCCTGAAATAGTCCTTTTCTCCACAGCTCCTATTATTTTCTCACAACATTCTATGGATGCTCTGACAGGCTTTCTGATTAGTAGAGAGAGAGAGAGAGAGAGAGAGAAAGAGAGMTTTTTTGTTTGGATCTCAAGTGTAGTCAGTTTTACTTGTTTAGGTATGTGAAAAACATTGTCTGCTACGGCTGGACTTGCTTTTGGAGGTGAAGAGATGGGAGGGACAAAGTTGCAGCATGCATATTGGGGCTTTACTTGTTATTTGTCTATCCATAAATGATATTTATACTGCATCAAATTTTGATGTTTCAATGGGAAATGATAGAAGATTTGCTCATCAAATTGCCTTCTCTTGTCTCTATTGCTTTTGCTTTTCTGATATTACTGCCTCTATTTTCTTGTCATTGGAGGAAAGTACAGCCAAAAATGTTGGCCTGCTGGTAGGGAGATCATAACCAATCGATGCATTTGATCATTTTGCTAACATTGCAATTTTTAGACAGGACCGTTGGTTGGTCTTATTTGGAGCTTCTGTTAGTCCATGCCCAATGGGGTCTTCTATTAATTGCAAGATCTGGATGAAGGAGATGACCAGAAATTGGATAGATAGGAGAGAGTACAAGATTATCCATTGACCCATTTTTCTCCAATATAGTTACCAAGTAATAAGAAATGCAGGTGRTTTGTTTTCTGCAGATTGCCTAGTTTTCTCATGGTGGATTTAAGCTATCAAGCAATATAAGAAGTATATATGTCCACTGAATTTGACAAAAGAAAAAGTATTTTATTCAATCAACAGAAGGAAGGACACACATATTTCTTTATTTACTGAAGGGATCACAGACAACTAGGGATCCCCAGTTTCATAGTAAATAGCCTCAGCTGGCATTCTATTTAATTTATTGCAGGGTAGGGATGTAGATGTGTCAATTTGGCGCGGGTTTGACTCAACCTCAATTTTAATAGAGAATTTGTCACTTTACTCCACCTCATAAATTTTTATTTTCCACCTATCCTCCTATATCACACCCTTTATTTGTGTTAGATTTATTCTCTCACCTGTCTTTTTTTCTTTGGTATCTTCTTCGTGATATGCCCTAATCCCCCATGGGGGCCCTTTGAAATAGCACAGCACCACACTGATGACTGAACCCCCTCCCCAAAGTCACTTTGTAGGAATCAAATCTGCGTCTCTGCTGGGACAGACTAGCTAAAGTACCAACTGAGCCACCCCTCATTTGGCAAATTCAGTCCAGATTCTACAATGGTGAYTCTATACCTGCAAGAATGATCAAGTAGAAATTGCCAATATTGAAAAAGCATTAGAATATAATCTTTATTGCAAGCATCCAATTTCAGTTGGAGATGAAAGGAGCAGAAAAAATGTGAATCAATGTCTCTATTCTTTTAAATGAAATAGTATAAGGGTACATGTACAAGAAAAGAGTAAAGATATAAGTTAACATTATATAATCAAATTTATTTTTTATGATTTGCACCAAAACCAAGGCAAGTATCCACTGTATAATAGCATAAATATGTACTTCTATTAGATCTCTACTAATCAAGTGCAGAATTGAATCTCTTCTTGCTGGTTTTACATTTTATTCACTGAAGTTGATGCTTATAGGAGAATGTTTTGTTTTAATTTGTTTTTGAAATTGCCACATCAGTAAAAAAAAAAAGCGAAAAACAGGTTCTTAAAGACTTACATCGTATTTTTTTGTTTTGAAAATAAAAAAAAAATATATATATATATATATATGTTTTTGAAAATATCAAAATAATGGTTTTTTAATGGATAAACAAACATTTATATGTAAATTCTAGCTTGTAGAACGGATTGATATTTTTACATTATAAAGTGAGGAGAAGTTACAAATTGTTTTTTTTTTTTTTTTTTTTTTTTGTTTTGCTTCATAGAAATTACAAATTATTCCAAACACAAAGGCAAAGCGTCCCACCAAAAAAGAAAACAATCCTATCTAGACTTGGAGCCCCACCAAAACATATATAAAGGAAAAATCTATGACACCGGAAAGTTATGGTAAGCTTTGACCAATCAAAGTACTTAAGCACCTCCGTGAATTGTGATAAGCACCACCTGATTGTTTACCTCTTTTACGATATTTATGATATTGTTTCATTGGATGCAAGTTTTTCTATATCATATCCTTCAAGTATCATAGTCAAACCCATATATATGACCCCACTTCAAATCAAATTCTTGCTCGTTGATGTGTTTTTTGAAGGCACGTTGTAAATTGGTGATGGACAATGCTTCGTTTGACCCCCATGCTCTTAATTCTATTAGAGCATATTTCTTTGACTTACAAGCAAGATTTTTAGAACCGGATCAGACATGAAACCATTCTGAGGGACCGGTTCCCGAGTTAAATGGTCCAATTGTCCAATTCAAATGGATGGTTTGTTCTGAATTTTCAAAAATAAAAAAAAAGCTAAAAACCGTTATCTGAATCGATAATTTAACCACTCGGGTTAGTGGATTATTGACCAAATCAACAGTTTTTGGCCAAAAAATGATTTTAGGGTGAAATAGAACCAGTTACCTGACTGATTCTTAGATTTTCCAGTCTGACTGCCCGGTCCGGCCTGATTTTCAAAACCATGCTTGCAAAAGACTATTCTGCATTCTCTTACTGAAGTGCCAAGTGCCCATTCCAAGCCATAAGAGCTCTTGGTCCAGGCCTCTTGTTAATTGGCTGAAAGTTAACTTTAATGGTGCGATCTCTATTATAAGGGTTGGTGTATGGTGGCTCATTAACTTGTTCTATACCTCATACATGGCTAGTGTTTGGAATCAATGGTGTTTTCTGAAAAAATGGCACCACATTAACACCATGTCTAGAATATGTTTTTCAGATCACGCTTGTTGTTTGATTATGTATATATTTTTTTTCTGAAAAAACGTTTTCTCATACCACATCTTAAAAATAGGGAAAGGTGTGGTCTTAAAAACATCCTTTTTGTTCTTTTCTCTTTTTTTTCACTATTGCTAACAACATAGCAACAATATGTTAATGTGGCATTAAAAAATGCCTATGTTTGGAACCAATGCCATTTGCAAGCCATTTTCTTGAAAATTAAAATGACGCCACATCAATGTGGCATTTGAAATCCTTTGATTTTTGGACCATGCTTCTTACTATTTAGTTATATGTTTTTTTCTAAAAAACATTTTCTCAGACCACACCTTGAAAATCAAAAAGCGTGTGGTATGAGAAAACATCTTTTTTGTTGTTCTTTAAGAAAATAACATTCCAATGCAACACAATTTTCTCAAAAAATGGCATCAATGGCCTTGGTCATTGGCATCTCAATTCATTTTCTTTGTATTGCTTGTTATAATTTCCCTGTAGTCTTAATGTAAAAAAAAACAGAAAAATGCAAAGGCATAGATGTTTGGCAAGGTTCAAAATATCAATACGATACATTTGATTTTGGCCTTTACATGTATTTTTACAAAGGGAAAATTCCCAATCAGTACCCTGCACTTTGGCTCGAGTGACAATTTGGTCATCAAACTTTAAAATGCGACAGTCCAGTACCCGAACTTTAAAAATGTGACAATCCAATACCCGAACTTTCAAAATGTGACAATCCAGTACCTGTCATTAACTAGTTTGTTAATCTGCCGTTAAGTGTCATTTGAAAAGTCAAAAAATGCCCTTCGAATGCCATCTAATTCTCTTTATAAACCATCCAAATGTTGACAAAAAACTGAACAGTCCCAAATTCTAGTCTCTTCTATTCAAAAAGGTTGGTGATTGTTTAGAAGAATTTAAAATTTGTGACTGTTCATTTTATTGTCAATGTTTGGATGGTTGATAAAGAGAATTAGATGGCATTTTTAACTTTTCAAGTGTCACTTAACGGTTGATTAATGGCAGGTACTGAATTGTCACATTTTAAAAGTTCGAGGTATTGGATTGTCACATTTTGAAAATTCGAATATTGGATTGTCCCATTTTAAAGTTAGAAGACCAAATTATCACTCGAGCCAAAATAGGGGGTACTCATCAGGAATTTTCCCTTATAGAAACTCCTTTTTATTTGTATTAAAAGAGAGTATAGTATCGAACCGATACACCTTTGTCATACTTTTTGAAACCCTAATCCGAGTTCATATCTCCGCCCCACAACACATCTCCGCTATGTATTGAGAACATCTTCTGATGATAGTACCAGCCCTGATGATGTCAACATTGGGAGATATTCTCAATACACAGCGGGAATGTGCTGTGGGGCGTTATGGAGTGGATCTTTGTAGGGTGAAGATGTGATTTACCCTAATCCACCTCCACCTCTATCATACTTTGAACCATGTTTTTGGGTGATTTAATAACCTTTTGGCTGGCTGTTAAAGTGATGGGATCTGCTCGCCTCACAGGCACATCCACCGTGCATTGGGAACATCTCCCTTGAATAATAACTAGTAAGTATTGGAGATGTTTCCATTGCATGATAGGATGTGAGTGTGAGGCGCCTGTGAGGCGTCAAGTGTGAGGAGCAGATGTACTGCCGATTGAATGGGATAACCCCATCTGTTCAATTGTTGAAGGTCAATGTACAACAAACGGTATGATGTAGCGCCGATGGATTGGACATGTGGCATGGGAACATTGGTCAGGATTCAGGAAAGACAAAAAGCAATACGCGCTGCATCGACAGTCTGACACTATCTCACCCGAAAAAACTCGCTACTGACGCCGAGTTCGACTCGTTCTTCTTTAAGCTCGGAACGGAAGCTCCTTTTCTTTCTTCTCTTCTTCTTCTTCTTCTTTTTCTTCTTCATCGGCGGGGAAAAGAAGAGGCTAGGTTTTTAGGGTTGTTGGGATAAAGATCCGGTGAAGAGGCCAATGGAGATTTCAGAGAAGAAGGAAGCGGAGATAAAGGGTTCGAATCCTCAGAGTCAGACACTTGTGGATGCATTGGCCGCTTCTGAAAAAGAAGCAGAAGAGCGAGAAAGGCAAGCACGCGAACTCAAAGCCGGTTTTCATCCTTTAAAGGTCTTTTTCTATCTCCACACAATTGCTTTCGTTCAAATTTATGCCATTTCTCTTCGGGACAACGAATCTAGGGCTCCAGGAGTTGTTTCTGTTATTATTTATTTATTTAATTGTTTTTGGTTTGGAATGAATTTCCTTATGTACATTTTGACATGGTTTTTTGAAATTTCTGAAAACGTTTATAAAACTTCCATGAACATCATCATATGGATAGGCCTCCAGATTTGACCTGTTCTACCCCTGAGTAAGCTAGTTTCTGATTCCTAGTTTAATATTCTGACTTCTTGTACCTTTACATTTTTCAGAACATTCATTGTGTTCTCTCTCTCTGATAGTCTTCGTGTGCACTTTCTCCTGGAGGTTAGTAGACTAGTTTTTCTACGTAGATTTTTTGGGAAAAAAAATATGCTATTAGGTGAATCAGAGAAGCGCCTGCAGATGTAGACGAATAATGTTTTTTAAGGAACTTTAAGCACACTGTTTATAAGTACTATCCGCTCAAGGCATTTTCACTTTTTTGTTGAAGAAGACTGGAAGACATTGGCTAAAGAAGTTTCCACAATCAGTGCAGATTGGCAGTCTGGGAAGGCAAATTTATATTCATCAGGATTTAGGACTTTTGAGTATAATACATAATAATGGTCTTTTGGTCTTTTCTACTTATGTTTAAGAGTTTATTAGGTTGAGGTGGTTTGCAGCATTTAGAATAAGAGTGTGTTTCAACAAAACAATTACAAAAATGAGATGAAAAAAGAACATAAACAAAGAGACAATTTTCTGTGAAGTTGGAATCCTGTATTCAGTGTCATAAATTGAAACTTTCGAATTTCTTTTCTGGTTTTGAGGGTTATTGGAACAAATCCGTCTGTGCATGATGGGAGTGATTAATAAGTAATACATAAGAAAGATCAGTAATAGATTGATTAGATGGCCCCAACTCTATAACTGTGTATTTGTGTGTAAAGATACTATCAGAGTTCCAAAAATTAATTTATAGCTTATGCTATCTGATTTTACTAATCATTTTGTTAATTTCTGAAGCAAGACTAATTAGGTTCTGGGTCCCAAATCACCACATCGTCATCATATCATCTAAACCTTATCTCAACTATATGGGATGACTACATGAATTCTGCTTAACTATTCTGTTCTTATTCATGAGCATGAAAAGACAATTTAGGATCCATGACCACAAGAGTTTGGCAAAAAGTTATATGCTGACTACCAACCTAACACAACCTTCCTCCTTTATCTGGGCTTGGGACTGGTGGTGTAAGACAAGCTCACACTGGCAGAGTTGTCCTGAACCACCGTATGTACAATAAATTACAGTTGAGAGGGCATTTCGTATCTCTTATAGAAAGGCACCCTCACTGTAACACTTCTTGAGAAGAAATAAGATAGATAAAGGTAATATTACTTGATACATGCTATGAGTACCCAATATTTGGATGTACATGGTTGTCTGCATGAAACCTCCAAAACCATGGTACGAGGACATGTCACAAATATTTAGTAATGCCCAATGATTATTTTATTTTTACTAAGGAGGAAGTCTCCCATAGAGTTAGAGCTGGATGGAAAAATGGAGGGGTGCATTTGGAATCCTATGTGACAAGAGAATACCACATAGTGGTCATGAGGCCAGCAATGTTGTATGAATTAGTTTGTTGGTTAGTCAAGAAATAACATGTCCAAAAAATGAGTGTAGCAGAAATGTGAGTATTGAGATGGATGACAGGATGAGTGGGAAAACTAGAGAAGATAGGATTGGAAATGAACATATTTCTAGGAGCCTAGGTGATAAATTGATTGAAAGTTGATTAAGATAGGATTTGTCATGGTAGGGAAGTTTATCGACAGCACTAGTGAGAAGAAATGATCTGTTACAAGTTGAAGTGTCTAGAAGAGCTAGGGGAAGGCCAAAAAGGATGGGTTGAAGTAGTGAGAAATGATTTGAGAGCCCAATCGCCCATAACTTACCAACAGATTTGGCGTTTAACAAGATGGAATGGAATGGTGCAAGAGGAATCATGTAGCTGATCCCATATGGTTGGGCCAAGGTATATATATATATATATATATATATATATATATTGGTAATCTCAAAAATTTTAAAATTGATCAAAAAAACATGGTTGGGCCAAGGTTTAGTTGAGTAATTATTGGACATGACTTATCTAATGATATATTGTTTGCATGTGCTAAGCATCAAGGTTCTTGCTTACTTCAGCATGCAGAGTCATTGAGATGCTACTAAAAGTGTCATGCTAAGTGTCAGCTGGTAACCAAGTTTCAATATGCCTAGACTCTCTTTTTTGAGTTGCCTAGCAATTACAATACCCAGATACTGCAAGGGCACTGCTAAACAAGGTGTCAGACATGCAATTTAGACTAAAAATTGAAGTGTCCAATACATATGGCAAGGCTGTATGGTATCTGAGTTATTATAACCTGGCAAAACAGTGTAAAGGATGGATAGAAAGAGAAGTACTATTATAGGAGAAAATTCAGAAATAATAAACTTCTAATGAATTTTATAAACTTTTGGTTTATTAGCAGGTGTGAACCCTTGTCAAAATCAAATATAACACTTGTATCTCAACCAGTGCAAGACTTGTTAGATTTTGAGGCTTTATTGCACCTCTCAAAGACTTCTTGGTTTTCTTATCTCATTTCATGCTTTATGGTGTACTTTCACAAGGATATGCTATTAAGCTAGTAGCATCTTTTGGAAGCTTTGTTTTTGGGTTCTCCTCTATAGTTCTGTGCTGCCAATGTTCTTTTAAATGGTTTAGAACACAAATACCAATTCTGTGACACATTAAGAAGTCTGGAACTCTGGATATTCAACAGACATGAGGTAAGAGGGATGGAAGAGTTTTTTTTTTTAAGTTGGATGGAAGAGTAATTTGTTAAGGTCATACATTATGTCTGTTGTCTTTCTCCCTATTTACTTTATTCTTCCATAGCTACAGTTTTCACATCCCTTTCTGCATGTAGAAGGTAGGCATGTTTTTGTGGGCAATACTGGGAATTCTCATGCTCTATTAGCCTTTAGTGACCTCGGTTGAGGGTTTTTCTTATTCTCCTTTTTCTTGATGAACCTCAGTTTTCACATCCCTTTATGTATTTACTAATGTGTACCTTTTTGTACTGGTGATAATTTTCACTAGAAAATTGTGCTGAAGATGTGGTGTGCCCTTTTTTTGATGGATAACATAGAAATTGATTTATTACTTTGTTAAAAAAAAGAACTTATGTACAATTTGTTGAGAATATGTATCCCAGATTACTAATAGTCCTTACATTGTTGCCCCCTATTACTAGTATGTCCCTTGGATGGTCCCCATAACATTTGATATCTGTTCATCCCTTGTCTTGCAAGAGAATCAGCAGCTCCATTGGCTGATCCATGAATCCATGTGAATCTTGCATTCATCTTCCTTGCCAGAGTTCTAATCTCTCTTATGTTGTGTCTGTAGCACCATGATCCTGAAATGGATCAAAAGGCCAAAGCCCTTGTATTTTGAGTATTGGACACCCACCGATACGATACGATACTTCTGATACAGGGTGTATTGTGTCAAAATTTTGAACCTTGTTTGCCTTAACCATCTGATGACAGTTCAGAATTGTAATGTTGAAAAATCACCCTAATCTTAGTCCATGTAACAGAGCCCTTAATTATGCTTTCACTGAATTTCCTTGACTCATAGGCCTTGAGTAGATGGTCATAATCGCACCCTCCTGGTTTCTAAGAACTTCCCAGTCCCCCCCACACCTGATGCTCCTGGATTACCCAAACTACAACCATTGAAATTAAGTTTAATCCAACTCAAGGGTGGTGGAGATCAACAACTAAGTACTGATGGGCTTGTGTTGTGCCCTTCATTGTTTATATTTTGGATTACTTCTATATTTTTCTTTATTGTGTATAATTCTTTTTTTTTAACTGATCTCACTATTCTATTCTAATTGTGTAAAATTTCAGCATAAGTTTGTATTTTGGTACACCCGTCGGACACCTGGAGTTCGGTCCCAAACATCATATGAGGACAACATAAAGAAAATTGTGGAGTTCAGTACGGTAAGTTCCTTGTTGAAGCATCAATGGGGGTATGATGTGGTCACTATCTACCCTTAATGCAAGTGATTTTTCCTCTTGGTTCACCGTGTGGATCTAGCTACCACTAATTGAAAATATAAGCTTTTAACACATATTCCTGCTGACAAACGGATATACTATTTCTAGGTTGAAGGTTTTTGGGTTTGTTACTGTCATCTGGCTCATCCTTCTTCTTTGCCAAGTCCAACTGACTTGCATCTATTCAAGGAAGGTATCCGCCCTCTGTGGGAGGTAAGAATTTAAAACCCGGCCATGCCATTTTATTTTTCTCTCCAATCATAACGTTTGTTGTTATTCTTGAATTGTTCAACTTGAAGATCTCACAAATGATGCTTCATCAATATTATTTGTTTCCCTCCTTAAAAGATGCTGCATCAATTGTTGTTGAGATTATTTGAATTATACTCTTTTCAATATTGAACAACTTGAAAATTACTCTGTGGTTAGGATGCTGCTAACTGCAATGGTGGAAAGTGGATAATACGATTCAAAAAGGCAGCGTCTGGTCGCTTCTGGGAAGATCTGGTAAGATGAAATTCTGATGTGTTGTTTATTTCAAAGGCTGTTTGTGGTGAAGTACCTAAAGCTAGTTTAGGCAGCACCTTGACTGTTATTGATGTCCAACTATCCTAGCAATCCAAGTATGATAATGATTTAAAATTTCAAGAGTAAAAATTACAGGGAGATGAACTTGTTCCCATGCAGTAGTCAGGAAATTAATTTTATCATGTTAGAAGAATGTATTCTTCCTGAAAACTGTGGTTTGGTGCCAAGCAATAGGATCCTTGTCCAAGAAAAACAACTGCTCATTTAGCAAATATAACCATGTGATCTAGCACTTTAATTAGCGTGAAGGTTGCCCTTGTCATTTCCTCTCATAGGTGGAAAAGAGTAGAAAAAAGAAGGCAAGTTGGTTTTAAACAATTAATTTCATCATCAGCAACTTAGTGTGTTCCTTGAGAATCTGATAGGTTTATAGGTTTAACCTTATTAGTGTTTTACTTGTAACTACCTGCAAATTTAGGCTGGTAGCAAGAAGGTAATCTTCAAGATTCTGTGAGAACTCAATATCCCCTTTAAGATGGGATATAGGTACAGTCAAAATCATGTTATGCATATGTTCTAACAATAAATTGAAAATTTAATGGAAGTAAATTGGGGCTTATTATAGATTTTATGGTTGTAAATTTGTAATTATGCTCTCTTTGGTTATTTTCCTCAATTGCATAATGTAGAAATACCATACTAGATTTTTGTCCTTATTGCTCAGCATCTGATGATAATTTGAAGTAATAATGTCTGTATTGTTTTTTCTTTGATGGCGGTACTTCCCACTATTGTGTGCCAATAGAATTGCTGTTTGAACAGTAGTAGTTTCACAAACTCCAGCACCTGAAAATTTGACCTTTTTGTTATTGATATCTGTTTTCTTTTTCATGTAGTTATGAAATTGGTGCTGACAACATTCTTTTGGGATGTCTGCTTAGGTTCTAGCATTGGTCGGAGATCAACTTGATTATGGGGACAACATATGTGGTGCAGTGTTAAGTGTTCGCTTCAATGAGGACATTTTGAGTGTCTGGAATCGGAATGCATCTGATCACCAGGTGAGTAATACAAAAGTGCTATTGCTGGCTCTGGGCTGGTATATGACAAGCATTGAAGTTTGGTTTTAAAATGTAAAATCTTGTCTTTCCTTGTCTTTTCAGGCTGTGATGGCTTTAAGGGATGCAATCAAAAGACAGTTAAAGCTTCCCCATAGCTATGTAATGGAATACAAGGCCCATGATGCATCTTTACGTGACAATTCATCATACAGAAACACATGGTTGAGAGGATAGGGATAACTGGGTAATGGCAGTTCATATTTTATAATCTTAAAACGTTTTGCTGGTGGTTCATTTGATACCATCTCCACTTTGTGCTAAGTCCATTTAGTTTAGTGACAATAAATTCATCTTGACCTGATGACCACAGTCATTTGATTTAGTATTGAGGCTTAATAACTGAGTAGTTACAAAGTGATCGGTTATAATTCTTGCCTTTTACTTAAAATCCTCCCCCATGTACTTCTACCTCCGCAAAAAACTTCCCTTCACGTTTTAAATGAATATGCAAACATACCCGTTATGTTAACTATACTTAGCATAGACATTGAAATTATGACGTCTTCTAAACTGTAAGTCATAGGAGAGCGAAAGTGAACTTCTGTGTGTGTGTGTGAGAGAGAGAGAGAGAGAGAGAGAGAGTAATCAAGTCGATTCAAAACCCCTCCCTGTGTAGGAGGGGTCTCCCTCTCGCATCGCCTGATGCCAGTATCCCTCTTGCATCGCTTGATGCTAGTCTTCCTCTCGCAAATGCGAGAGTTTTTCCTCTGTTATAACAGGTTTTTGTTGGACATGGTGGAGATTTTTTTTTTGTGTTTCTTTTGTTAGTTGATTGTTGTCTTTTTCCATTGGTTTCTCCATGCATGGATTGGATACGATGACTCCATCTTTGTTCTAAGAAGTGGTTCTTCCTCTACGACTTATTCTTAAATGGCTTTGATTTCAAAACGGTTGAAGATGTTGTCGTTACTAACATCGATCTGTATGGTGACGTCTGTTCTAGGGAGATATATGTGGATGCTTTTATATTTGGGAGTATCTTCTTCCATGGGATGCATTCTGGTGTGGTGTATTCTAGTGAGTTGTTCTTCCGTGAGAAGGAATATCTTTGTTCTGGCATAAATTTTTTTGACGCATCCTAATCTTTTCCGTTCAGTCTCTGACATTATCCATCCTTTCAATTATCAGAGGAGCCCTTTCTCGCACTTTTTTCGGACCACCATCACTTAGTGGGGAGGTGGCCTTTTTCTTGCCTCATGCCTAGGGACAGTTTGCCAACTATTTTAATTAAATTTTCCTTTGGGATGGAGTTTACATTTGCAAGATGTCTGTCACGTCCAAGCCTGGGTGAGACAATGATTGGCATTCTCCTTTTCACCTATCAAGTCTGAAGTTTTAGTTGTGATTGCCATGGAAGGGGGTGACTTTGGCAATATTTTTTCTGTGTATCCCCGTTTTCAGGAGTTCCTTGCTGAGTTTTGACTATGTTGGAGGTCGGTCCTCATTTATTGGCGTTTCCATCTTTTTGCGCCGTTTGCAGAGTTCTTACGAGATTTTCTCCCATGCTCAGGATTTGTTTCTTTGTCAGCAATTTGGTTTGGGTTTATCTTTTCTTTTCTTTTTTTTTTTTTTGTCTACTATTGCTGATTGTACTCTCATGGATTGTATTTGAGATTCTAAGCATTCTTAATGAAATTAGCCACTCTCATGGATTGTATTTGAGATTCTAAGCATTCTTAATGAAATTAGCCATTGCCTTCAGAAAATATGACTATGCCTTTGTTGCAAATGTACACTGAACACTGTTTTTCATTTTTAACATTGCCTATGTGTGGTATTTCTGTTAATAGGGGAGGTTTGAGTTCAATCCCAACTTGACTTTTGTGCACTTTTGATAAAGTGGACAATGAGATCAAGGTGAATCGTTCTTTATCCATTCATTATCCCAACCAAGGTTTAAAGTATCAAAAATGCTAAGTGTGTTAGAAAGTTAAATTTAAGAGACGTATTGGGATATACTTAGATATGCATGGATATAGACGAAAAATTAAGATACGCATGGAAACATATGAAAACAATATAAATACTCCAATAAATCATAAATGTACATCAATAATATTAAATATAGGGCCTAAACGAGGTATATATACTTTAAAATCACGTTCTTTAGTAATTTTGATGGAAAAAATGTCATAATCAACATATGGAAATATAAGGGTATTCTTTAGTTTTTTTAGTTTTTTTTTTTTTTCAAATTCGGTTTAGAGGGGCTGGTTTAAGGTCCATCCACCCCCTGAACCGGTCAAAACTCTAATACACCCTCTGTAGGGACGTATCGAGAAGCTCCCGATACGATACGTATTGATACTTTGAACCTTGCATGGGAATACAATGAATAGAACAGGCTTTAGATGTTTGATTTATATGTTCACTCGTGGATTCTGAATTGGCCACACAAAATGAGTTTTTAATTATTCCACCGGAAAAGAGCTTGATCAACCAAATGAAGATGGTGCTGGTGTTCAAAGGCAACTAATGTAAAACTGCTCGACAACTCTCCTTAGGAATCAACACCATTAAACCAAAGCTTATAAATCCCATGATTCATATGAAATCAAATGCTAAAGAATTAAAATTAAAATAATGAGGGAGAAAAAGAGAGCAAAAGAGAGCACTTTCACAGCAGTGATGTTCTTAATAATGTAGCTTTAGAGTTTAAAGAAAGAAGCCTCTCCCTCTCTCTGTCTCACACACACACAGAGTAGTAGTAGTAGGCGCAAGCAGTATACCTTTTTGGAGTGCTTCTTGAGAGATCTTAATGCAGTGTTTTAACAAGGTTCCTTCTTAGTTTTAGGCCCAAAAAACAAAGTTTCATTTTAGTTCTTTTCCGTTTTGACACAGAAAGCGGGCTTAAAATGATGGTTTAATTCAATTTCACTTCAACCAGCGCTCTCAGAGGTTTGATACTACTCGAAAGTCACTTGTTGTATATGTCTTGGATAAGCAATTAATTTGTTTAAATTACATTAAAGAAAATTTCAGTTCAATGTCTTCAAATAGAAGAAAACAATAGATATGAACCAAGATCTCCCCATCCAATGGATTGGAACCATTCAAAACAAAATGTACCTTGTTTCATACACGTACCAGAGAAGAAGAAGAAGAAGAAGAAGAAGAAGAAAGAGAGAGAGAGTCCTAAAAATGGAAAAATTTTTCCAGTATCTATACTAATTAGCAATATAGACATCACATAACGACTGCATAGATATCAGGGCTTAAAGAGCTTATTTCCACATCTGCATTTCCATGAGAGCAGATAATAGCTGCCATTTTCTTCTTGAGATGATGTCCTGAAATCCCTTCTTTGGTGAGGAGGGATAACCAGAGTAGCCATGCAAGGCCTACAGCTCAGGCATTTGTTAACACAGCGTGGAGGTCTTGAACCCAACACCAGTTTTCTTTGCTTCAAGCTCTCATCATAGCTTGAGAACTCTAACTCAGCTATCCGTAAGCCAAATACAGAAAGAGAAGCAAAAGAAAAGAATGAGATTATAAAGCAAGGACAACGAAACTGAAGCAACACTTGTGTGGAAGAAATCCAAATCCTCTCTTTCTATGTCTTATCAAATCTCTAAAAAAAAAAAGAACCCAGTTTGCAGTTTCATTTAAAATGAGAAATAGGAGACCTACAAAGTCTGAACTGTTCTGAGTTTAATTGTTACCTGGTTCGGAGGATAGAAAAGTGGCAAATAGGATGAGAATTAGCAAAGCAGTACTAAGCCCATTTGCATTGTTTCTCGATGAAGCCATCAGTCTTTGATGCTTTATTTCAGAAGAACAGATATAGGATAGGAAGGAGTGAGGTGAAAGAGGCTCATCAAAACTTTAAAAAGGATTGGGTACTTGAGAAGCGAGCAATTTGATGAAAGATACTGAGATTGTTGAGACATGGGTGAGGGTTGTTGCCTGTAAAAGAGACATTTCTCTGATAATATTTCTCGTTCACCAATTAAATGCATCTCAGTTTAGGGGGCCCCCAAGGGAAATATCTTTCAATCTATSTATATATCTTTTTGGGAAAGTGTAGCTCCTGACCTGAAATTCGGTTTTTAGTGAGGACATGAGGAGTGACTGAGAGAGTCTTGATCCTTTTTTCCAACTGACTTGACCACCCAGTGGCCTCAGTTGTGTAATGACCAAACTGACATTAATCGGCCTATATATATATATATATATATATATATATATAGAACATTTTTCTATTAAGTGGAAATGGACTTCAAGGCAAACGACACCCATATATGACAAGAAACAAGAAACCCAATAAGTAGAGCTAGCCACCCATCTGAAACCTTGTGTTAGACTAATCTGGAAAAAGCCACAATAATCGGAACTACAACTGATCATTTAGTTCCTCAATCAATGAACAGTCTGTTTAAGAAGAAATATCTATCTGTCTATCTGGGGTTAATTCTTATATTGCCTGTTTTTCTTGGTTTACTTCACAGAAGGAGGAGCACATGGTGAAATAAATAGGTGGAGGGAAGACGGTGCATCATCCGTGTAACAGAGAAAAGCACCACTACAGAGACTGAAGCATTCATCCCTCCTAAGGGGAATGCCTAACAGGCAATTGGCCTGTATTACCCATTACCCTAGGCCTAGCGAAAGCTTGGGTCTGAGGGGACAAGAGGGATGGGTCAGTCTTTCTAGCAGATCTTGACGTGCTTGCTTGACATGAACATGTAAATATATGTTTCAGAAATTTAAGCTAGAGAATGTATAGGGATAGCTTTGGCATCTAGAATGGAGAAGGTGTTTGCAATCAAGTCTCTCTGCTCTCAGTCTCAGTTCTCAGGTGTTCAGAGAGGGCAACGTGTACGCACCATAAAAGGGTTCCTCAGGAACAGTAGTAAGTACGTGGGGAAGGTTTAGAATCAGTTAATAGTCCAGTTTTTTGAACAGGAAAAGTACTGTTTCGTTAGTTCTCTTTTTTGGGTTTCGTACCATATATTCCTGATTTCAAAAAACAGCAATTCCATCCCTCCCTATTTGCTCCTCTCATGCTTCCAACACAAGAGCCTAGCGATGGTTAATCAAATGGTGAAAGATGTCTCCTTGTACGCTCAAAACAGAAGGGACGTGGTGTACACAGTGGGTACTGAGTAGGGAAGCATCCAGCTGAAATGGGTGGAATGAGTATCTACATCAACTGTGTCTGTGATCAACAGGATTCTGGGTAGAGGCTTCTTTGGTTTCTTCTTTTCTAATCTGAGACCTGTATGATCTTTGAGGGCAGGTGATGAACTATCTACCAAACTCTCTTCAGTCTTGATGGGTCATGGATGGTCAAAATATGCTGCAAACGATGCATCCTTGAATGGGTAATGAATGGTTGGATGCAATACGGAATTATGGATGGTAATATCTCTTAACAAAAAGGGATTAATCAATTGTCATTTCTTACACTTTGCTTGCGTTTTCCTTAAAAGATGTAGATGTAGAGATGGAATACAATAAATAAGTACTCAGCAGATCAACAACTATTTTTCTTATAGAAAGGAGAGAAAAAAAGTTAATCAGTTCAAGAGGGTTTTGAATGAAATCTGGAGATCAAAAGAGATGGGTTTGGTGCAGTGAAGAAACGTAGAATTAGAGGACTCTCTCTCTGTGGGTGGGACTCGAGGAATCAAGGGTTGAAGGAAGCTAAGCTACCATCAAACCCCGTTTTCTTTTCTTTGTACCAAAAAAGAAATGCCAGTACTAAGGACTAAAGTGACTTGTACAAACACTACTGACTGGGTTGTGCCAAAAGATGCCAGCCTGATCCATGCATCTGTTTGACAAACATAAATCTAAAACAGATTAGCTACTCTTTTCCATATATATATATATATATATCAATTTACTCCAAAGTTGACACAAGAACCTTGAATACCTGGAAGTTGAGCTTAATTAGATAACAAAATTGGCAGAAACCTGTTTAAATAGTCCTGCTTAGTTACCCCTAAAAAACACAATAAATCTTTCATTACTCGAATTAAAAATGAAAAAAATAATAAAAATAATATAGGGATTTGAATGTGAAAAATGTAAATTAGGTAACCCTGTGGGAGATGGGCCCAGGGGGCCAGGGCCAAGATTTGAATGTGAAGTTTTGGATTGGAATCCAATGCTTTTGGGTTTGTGGGCCGAAACATGGTACTGAAGTCTGAGGAAAAGTAGGGTTTTGGATCTCGAGGATAGAAGGATTCTAATAAGCCAAGACTCAAAGAGTGGTTGAGTATTACTGGAATCTATAGTTAGAACTGTGAACGTGAACGTGGAGACATCAGTCCCAGTCAGCCAGTCAAGTTAGTGATTCTTTCTATAAAAGACCAACTGGTGGTCTGAGGGCAGACCGGCAGAGGAGGAGGTTGTAGTTGTAAGTAAGCAGCTAACCCATTCATTACCCAACCCCAACGTGAACGTAATAACAGTGGGATAACAACAATTAAAAGAGCAGAGTAATGCCAAACGTACGGCTTGGTCAACTCCGTACAGAACCCCGAATGCTCTCTACACCGTCGATCTAGTGCATTGCCTTTGCATGGGACCCATAACCCAAAGATTGATGCATGAAAAAGGAAGAGGAGAGAAGTCTAATCACGTAGTCTTTTCTTTTAAGCGTACGTACTCTAATTGTCTAAATTTAGACAATCAGAGACGCTGCTTGGCAGGCGATGATAAGCAGTAGACTTGCGCATGGGCATCACCGTAGGCCGTAACTTTGATTTGACCCTTATTACTTCTTCTTCACCTGCCTCTCTGTGACTCTGTCATGCCCCCTGCTGCTTTTTTATCTATAGAAGAAGATTTAGATGATGATCAGGAAGGTAAGTGGGACCCATTAGAACAATTGGATCATGAGTTGGGCCCCACTTTGTTTACAGATGTATGTGATGGGCTGAGAGTCTTCAAGAGTGGTGCTGGGTTCTCTTGTGGGTGTGCCATCCATGGCCTTTTGACTTTTGTTCAGTCGTTGGATAAGGAGCCCATAACCCATTGCCCATTTGCAATCTGATCAGCTCCTTACCAGTTAGGAACAGACTACAGAGTGGGCATGGTCACTATCTAACTATTATCTGGTCCTTTGAGACCAAAACTAGACCCAAAGCCAACCCATTGCAACATGGGCCTGGCCCAGACCTTGCATAATAGGGTCAAATTGTTCTGGTCTATCATGGATATGGTTCAGACTTCAGAGAGAGAGAGAGAGAGATGGAGTGACTAAACTCCATTCAAAATATCATTATCTACTAACATGAATCAAAACGATAATGTAATTCATTAATTAATAAAGAGAAAGGAAACCCTAACCATACTTATAATAATAAAATAATTTTAAAATACATTCCTAGGATGTTCTCTTCAACTCCTACTTTAATTCCAATGATTTGTCCAAATATGTGCCAAGCTAAGAGGTCCTGACCTTAGTGAGGGAATTGGCCCCAAAAGAAAAAGGTCGGAATCTTAAAAGAACTAATTGGGCCTGCATCAGGGCAATATTTTGAAGTCAAACTTTTGTTTTTGAGTAGAGAAGCACGTGGAGAAACTAGATGCATTGATGGGTAATCAACGACATTTGCCTTAGATCAGGGGCTTTGTCTAAATGCCTTAACTGAATGACTTCAGTAAGTGAACTTAATGGTATTAAGTTCAAGTCCAACTGAACATAAAAACGTATTCTAGAAATTTCCAGTCCTGTGCCTGGGCTATAAGTCTTGGCCCGCATCAAGTCTAGCAAATTGTGGGCCTTTCTCTGGCCAGCCAAACCATGCTCTCAATACACGGTGGAGATGTGCTGTGGAACATTGTGGGGGGCTGATTTGAACTCTTTAGAGTTTAGATAACGGGGAAAATGTATGTTAAAGCCTCCAATCAGGTTAGAGGATCACATTCTTGTTTCACTAAGATACCGTCCTAGAATTCATATAACTACAAAACTGTCATCTGATATTTTACTTTTACCTTAACATCGCTGTCAAGGGTGATTCTGCAATCTTAGTTGGAGAAAACAGGGTTTTGGGATTTGCTGTTCCATGGTAAGAGGTGATTCAGGTTCCTATTTTATGAGCCTGGTTGGACACAAAGCCCTGTTGTCAAAAGAAGCGGCTTATAGCTTTGAAAACAGAGACAATTCTGTCATTCTGTGGTAGAGGCTCTGTTTGACGCAGCCCGTTAACCCTCAACATATTTCAATTGCATTGTATGGAATGATGTGGATAAGAGATTGACATGTGGTTAAACCATAGGAAGGGTACTCATACCGATACATGGTCAGCCTTGGCGCCTATTAGAAAAAGTGATCTATTACAAGTTAGTGGCCGAAAGAGCTTGGAGCAGACCGAAAAGGACTTGGATTGAAATAATGAGATATGAATTTTAAACGTCCATGATTTTACAACGGATATAGCACTGAAACAGGATTCATGTAGCCAAACCCCATCTAGTTGGGACAAGGATTGGTAGATGATGATGACATGACCTGCGTTGACAGGAATTTTCATGGGTCAGTGGGGGTAAGCAATGTTTTGGGAACTGGCTAGACCATCCGGTTGAACTGGGTTCTCCCAAATCAGAGGCCTCAACACTCAATACCAGCCTAGGTGAACCAATGCTATGAGTCCGGATCCGGGTCGACCTAAATAGGCCTGCTATTTGGACTGTACCGAACCAGCAGTCTGCACCAAATGACAAGGTGGGGTGCTCGACCTCCCCCACCACCAGCCATTGAGGTGAGAAGTGATTACAGCTCCGGGGACTCTATAATTGAAGATGACTTCAGGATTGGGGAGAAATGGAGAGTTTGAAGATGACATCTTTGGACTATGTTTCATGTATTTCTTTTATAGATACTGTGTATCTTTAATGGATCTTTAGAGATTGCATTAGGAAAGAAATAGTGAAATACCACCACCATTCACAACCCAATCGGATCTCTGTTCTGGTCAACACCGTCCACAGCACTTCATATCCATTGATTGGAATTTATGTTTATTTTATGGTAAAAAGAGGGTTGGTTTGTTCCAGAGTCCGGATTTGGGCCTCTTTTTTCCGGATAATGGGCGATTACCTTTCCTCCATGGAAACGTTGGAGTATATTTTAGAGAGGAAAACCAGCCCCACCACCACTTATTCACTGAACGCTGGACAACCATTTCTGTATACAGGGTTATGATTCTGGGTTCTAGAGGGTTTTTGTCTTCTGTGGAATATGGATGATATGAAGATGAGTTTTCTTTTCTTTTCTTTCTTTTATCTTTTTTTTTTTTTTTTCTAGCAAGGGACCACAAAGGAGCCATTGTTCTTTCCTTCTCTGAAAGGCTCTGAAAGGCCAAGATGGGCTCTTCATTCATTGGAAGAGAGCAGAATTTCTTTGGCTGGCCATGTGGAGTTTGAGAAATGGAGCTCTACTTAACCTGCTATTGCCTTTAAAGCAGTTAGTTTGTGCTTGACACCTGGCTCCTCTAAAGACATGAACGTCCTATCAAGCTGTAGCTTCAAAGCCAAATGAAACACCAATTGCTTCACGGAAGAGATTACGGGCTTTCATCTCATCATCTGTTTTCCCACATCGGCACAGGAAGTGAAGTCGAAGACAGCCTCCAATCCCAAATTCAGAAGACAATGCGCACTCCTACTGGGTAAGAAATAGGAATAATATTTGTAATGGCCAATTTTGCAAATGCAGTGCAGATGAACCCCAGATGCAACCTTGGAAGACCCTTCGTCTCAAACAGATTGAATGGCTTAACCCAACTCTAGAGTCTATATATACACTTCCATTCCCAGATCATCAATTGCTTGACAGAATAGAAGAATCAAGTAGTCTTTAGAGAAGTTCATTCAATTTAACCTTGTTATTTGATCTTCAGTTATCTGTCCATGTCATGTCATATTGGAGATGAGGTGTAATCATAAAATTTTGGAGTTGCAGAGCACACATACCATTCAGGCAAGCAAAAATATACAACACAAGAAGAGCAAATATTCATTCCATTTTACATAATGAAGTTGCATAGTACAAGTCCACAACAAGGGGGGCCTGCAAAACTAGGGCTTGGGGAAAAAAAACAACCCACTGAAGGGTTATCATAGCAGACCGAAAGAAGCTGCTGCCAAGGCCAAAGCCCACGAATCTCAGGCGCTAAACCCAGAACTGCCAAAAGCAACTACAACCACAAGAACATGACCGACCCATCCTAAAGGAAAACAGAGACCCAACCATCACGTAGAACACTTGGTTCAAACACATGGCAGACTCGGTAAAACCAACGTGGACAGACTCGAAAACAGACTTGGAAAGACCTGAACAGAGAAAGCTTAGCCCACGCACACCAGCATGACCAAGAACGCCGGCTAACGCTAAAACACCAGGTGACATCACCCAGCAACACAAAACCATGACTCAAACCAAAGAAACCAACTACTAAAGTGAAATCAGAAATCCTAACCAGAGGACCCGGTAACTGTTATTGTCAGGGATTCATGACCAGGGATTAAGTGTTGGAACAGATTTCCTATGAACAGGAAAACTGCAAAAAACAGGGGAGAGGGTGATTGGCCATTGTCCCTGGGAAACAACCGAGTCCCCACTATACCAGAAGGCCTGCTGCTTACGGCCCAAAAACTACGTGGAAAAGCTGAATGTATGGCTGCTGCTACTATCTGCAAGTGGTGCTGGAAATCTGGAACATCAAGATGCAATTGACCCCATCCTCCACAACTGTGTTTTTAACTCTGCGATGGGGTGTTCTACTTCCTTCATACCTAGAAAAGGATGTCGCATCTCCATAGATGTTCCACAAGTATTTCGATGGTGCTGCTGCTGATTGAATTGCATCGCTGGAGATTCAAGCCCACCAGATTCTGGCCCATGTTTTTAAGAAATGGCATGCTCTTGTCAGATACATGTAAGCAACCTGACAGAGAAAGTATTTGCAAGTCGAGCTGCTTTGTAGAAGACAGAGCAACAATGCCAAAGTCAGTGATTGCACATTTAGAAATGTCAAGGTCACGAAGCACCAAGCAGTTGCTTGCAATTGCCATCAAGCTAGCATCAGTGATCTTCCTGCAACCATCAAGATTCAGCAGCTGAAGTGTTTCACCATGAAGCCTAGCCATGGTTGTAACAACCACATCTGTCAAATTCATGCAACCACTAAGGTTAACTTTCACTAGACCCAGCTCAGAGTTCTCAATAAGTGGGAGAATTCCAGCATCTGTGATCCCACAAAGTCCACTCAGGTCTACGTACTGCAGCTGTGGACACAACTTCCCCACCATAGCCAAGCTAGAACTACCAAATCCTGGGCAGTGACGAACAGAAAAAGATCGTAGGGAATTGCAGGGAGAGAGCTGTGGCAATCCCAAGACTACGTCCTTAATACCCATGCACTTTACCAAACTAAGTGCCTTTAACTTTGCTCCACAGTTTGAGAGGGCACCAAGAACTCCAGATTGGGTGATCCTATTGCACTCCTCCAGCTGCAGACTCTCCAGAGATGCTGCATTTCTGGCAAAAGCTATCAACCCATTGTCAGATAAAAACAAGCACTTCTGAAGAATCAGCTGCCTCAGGTTAGGGCAACCCTTGCCAACAGCTTCAAGACCTAGATCTGTTACCCCCCGGCAAGAGGTAATTGTAATAGACTTCAGCTTTTGCAGACCATGAGTATTACCCATGACCCAAAAGCCCCTCTCACTCACATTCTGTAGGCCAGTGAGGACTAGTTCAGTAACAGCCTTGCCATAGTGGCCCACAACAGCAAGAGAGACATCAGAGATGTTCAAACCCTGGAGCTTTACTTTTGTCAAAACATAAGAAACTGAAGATAACAAGCTAGCAACTCCTTGATCCCCCACAAGTGGGCAGTCCTTGATTGAAATGGACTGCAGATTTGGGCAGCATCGACCAATTGCTTGGAGGCTCTCATTTCCGACTTTTGAACAAGACTCTATTGTTAAGGAAATCAAATTGGGGCAGTTCTCGGCAATTGCCATCAAACCCTTGTCAGATATCGAGGGCAATTGACAGAGATCGAGCTTCTCTAACATGTGGCATCCACTAGCAATCTCAGATAGACCTGCATCCCCAATGGAGGAGACATTCCACAGGGATAGAGCCTTGAGTGAAGGGCAACCACGAGCAATGGCTGAAAGGCCAAAATCAGTGACTCCACGAATACTGTTGCTTCCTCGGATCAAAAGCTTACCAAGCCCACCGCGGCTACCAGTTCCAACAGCAATGGCAGCAAGCCTGATATCAGTGGCCTTTTTCCCTTCCAAACACCTGGTGAGGTGTCCCTCACTCTCAAGTTCCAAATCTACATCGACAGAGGCCACACCATTCTCATTGGAAACAGGAAGAGAGTCCTCCTTATCAAGCTTTGAAGACTCGTCTCCCATATCTGGAACCAACCCTGCTTCAGGTTTTGCAGATTGTGTAGTTTTACTGGTACAGATTTCAGTCCTCCGGATGCTGCTCAGAAGAACAAGCCAGCGCTTTGACACAGAAGCACAGGCACTCCTCTCTTGCCCTCCAGGCAACCTTCTGAAGATCTCAAAGAGGCATTCATCCGGAAGAACTTCAATAGAGGACTGCTTCTGCTGCTCAAACTTATCACATCTGAAAACAAAGGGCGCACTGATACGAGACCTCTTGCGAGGAGGGCAGTAGACGTCCACATGAGGACCAAGAGACAACAGCAGACTTGAATCCATAGGATTCGCATATAAAGAACCCCCAGAGCAGAAATCCTCATCTCCTGAATCCAAAAAAATGAAACTTGACTCAGATAAACTTGCCTCCACAAGATTTTTTGTTTTTTGTTTTTTTTTTTTTCACAAGCCAAACTTAAGAAAGAAGACCTGAAACTATCAAATAATGAGTTTCTTACAAGGATATGCAACCAAAAGAACTATCAAAACATAATCTTAAGACCTCTTTTCTTGGAAGAAAAGAGGGGTAAACGATGCTCAGATCTCAAAGACAGAGCTCATATCATGACCCAGGAAAGCCATAGTAGGAAGACCCCCTCAGGTTTCTTGTTATTATCAATATATAACTAAATCCCAGCTCTACAAACAACAATTTCAAAGGGTTTCTGTAATAAATCCACATCTAATACCAAAATGATCATAAAATTCGAGAGAAAACGCAGCAAAGAATTCAATCCACAATGAAGATAAAATCACCAAGAAAACAAACGCGATCTACAAACAAAGCCCTAACAGCATCCCAACTACAAATAAGAATCCTAAAATCACAACATATTAAAACCCAACACAATCCAAACCTAAGCTACCTCATACCACAAGAACAAAAACTCAACAACCATAAATTCCATTTCAACCTAGCTAGCACCACAAATTCGAACGAAAACCCAAAAGAAATCCGAAGCTTACCAGCGTAGTTGACGAGGGTCGGCATGGGTATAGTTGAAGATCCGCTGGGGAGAAGAATCTGCACTGGTTCCCACCAAAAACCCCCCTACCGAGAGCCAAAACACAGGTACCCACCAAGAAGAACACACAAAGAAGCAGGTATAGACCCTCCTCAACAACCGAATGCATTACAAAGGTGAAACGCCGATGTTCATCAGAAACCCCAGAAAACCCAGGGAAAAAAGAAGAGAAAGAAAGAGAGAACGAAGAAGGGAGGAGACGGTGTCTGATTTGATATGGCTGAGCCACTTCTCTCCCCCTCACCTCTTTTATTTTTAAGGCGTCACCTTCAAATACATTACACCCAATCCCCCACCTCCCAAATGCAATGAATCCGTCCCCAAAACCGCTCTTCCCTGTTATTCCCCACCTACTATACTGCAAGAAACCGGAAACCGGAAACCGGAAACCTCTGTTCTTTTGGGGTTGTGTTTGGTTTTTTCAGCCAAAAAAAATCAGACAAAAAGAAAAGGTTGTTTACTTCTTTACTCCTTTCCTTCATTGGGCGTTGAGTTGGGGTAATGGCCTAATGGGGTTTGCTTTGTTGAAAGAAAAATGTTAGATAGGGGTAGGGCTATTGTTTAATTTTGTTTAATGTGGAATTAGTTGAAGATTAAGTGGATCAAGTTGTCCAAGTGGGGCATTTTGTAATCTTGATCAACTGTACTTAGTCGTGCTTAACGTGTAATTAAGCAATTTTGATTTGTTTAATGAGTTTACCTAGCTGTCTACACCCTGTTCTTTGGCAATGGTGGATCATTCTTTATTTATTCCCCTGGTTCAGACATCAGATTTTAGAATGAAGTACAGGGTTTTGAGGAAACCCTCCTCAAGCTTAACAATAAACAACTTGTTTTTCTGGGTTAATTATTTAACTTTTACTTGCTTTTGGTAAGAGTGTAAATGCAGAACCCAAGTGACTTTATACTAGGTGTTTGGTAAGAATACATTTGTGTATTAAACTTTGAAAAAAAAAAAAACAAATTTACTTTTTCAACTGTTTTTATATTAAAAAAGAGCAAAGTAAACTATGCACTCAAAGTTGATTTATGTAAAATAGGTTGACTATATTAGCACCCATTACAACCAAACAGGACACTGTAAATGAACGAATGCAAAAGCAAACTAGGTTTATGTTATGTCCTTCTAGCTGGCCAAATTTGCATTCACATCATGAATATATCATACATATTGGGAGGTGACCTAGACGTAGCTAGTTAACTGATAATGTGATCAGGGATTGATGTTAGGGTGAATTCAGATCTACGCCTCACAAGTGCTCCACATCACATCCCAATCGTATATTGGGAGCATTTTTCAATAACAAGTACATGAAATGTTTTCAATACACAGTTGAGATGTACTATAAAATTTATGTTAGGATTGACTAACTAGTAATTGGGGTTAGGGATTGATATTAGGGTTAGGGTTAGGACTAGATTTTAAGGTTAGGAGCCCTGTCAAACTTTTACCAAACCTTGAATGCAGATTCTAATGTGCACCAAAGGGTAGGGTTCACTCTTCTTTTGGCTCTCACTTTGTGAGATCTTGACCGTTGGAATTGACATGATGAGTTGATTGTAATGAATTTTGTTAAGCAATGGCTGAAGTGACTAAACTGCATGATTTATTGCTTTGTCTTATAAGGGGTAGGGGATGTAGTAATATAAGTAATTCAGTTTCAGCCAGTTCAGCCGTTATTTTAAATCAGACACATACACGTAAGGTTAATGGATTGGGCATAAGAGTCAACAGAAGTTGGGTTAGAAAGATCTAATAGCCGAAGCTTTTGAGTTTTGAGGAGGAAGCTGGGCTGGGCTGTGTGGCCTGTGGCGTGGTGACAAAACACAAAAGCGTAAGAAGGAATATTGTACTGGGGTCGGGGTTATTAGGGTCTAGTCAACCTCCTGGGCTGAGAATGGGGCCCACAAAAAGAAACGAGTGAAAGGGACCCAGATGCAAAGGACCCATGCCTGTACGTTGTTCGTTCATGGGTCTTCACTTCGATTCTTTTCTTTTGAACATTGGATTGGGCCGTGCATTGAATCCGCGTGGATTACATGTAGGAACGATGACGTGTGGGCAGAAATAAAGAGAAGCAGAGAAGCTTCATCCTTTTTATTTTTCTCTCTCTCTCTATTTTCTTTCTGAATACTGATAAGAAGAAAGAAGAGAGAACTAGAAGCAATTGAAGCTGTTGAAGATTAAATCCCTTAATAAATCCCACTTGGGATTATTTTATATTTGTTGCCAACAGCCTTAACTTCTCTACTTAGAATTTGAGGAGATGGTCGTACAAATCTCTCCCCATGTTCACTGCTAACACACTTATTCCAATTATTTTTCCATGTTTTCTTTTTAACTCTTCCTACCCACTTGGGTTCTTGCATTGAATGTCTTTCATAGGACATCCAATTGGTTCTTCTTGGCCTGTTAGCTTCCTTAATTCCTCTCTTTCTCTCTCTCTCCAACTTGAATTATTTTACTAATGTTTTTACCTATTCAAATGAAATGTGCATGAATAAGTAATTCCACTTGAACCACTCTTTTATCTCCACTTGGGCAAGGCTCTTTTCGTTTTACCCATTTTCACAAATAGGTGGTACTCACTCCCCACTCTGCCCTTTTCATTGAATAACCAAGTAAAAAAAAAAAAAAACAGTCACCTCAACTTGAATTATTATACCAACTTTAGACGATGTACTTAGAATATTTATCCACCCTTAACCCCTTAGAAGGAAATTAAGACAATGGGGATGATGATTCGTCAAACCAAACACATCGAGCCAATGCCAAAGCCACTTGGGCTGGCTCACAATGCCAAGCACGAAAATCAACATGATGGGTAGAAGCAAAACAGTTTCCAAAATTGAGCAATAACAAGCTATCTGGACTGGCATTTGGGTTTGGATCCCAACGCACATATTGGCCCAAGGTCATTGGATTAGGTTCCCTAGTTGGCCATGTGCCAAGACAAAAGCTACTGTAGGCTCCATTCTGTAACTCAATTAGTTCAAGTGTGTAGTACTACAATATGCAATTATGTTCTCGTGCTTGATCCAGCTTACCATGCACATCTTTAAAAAAAATTATATTCCACCATTGAATATTTATATAACTTAAAGGCTAACCGCCCGATCAATCGATCTGGATGACCAGCCCCGACCATGCTGGCCTGAGCGAGTCTTGATTAGTTGCACTAAATGGTTGTGTTAGGAGCTGTTTAATTAACCAATAATAATGCCCCACATCAGCCATGAAAATTGAGTGATTGTGGGATATATTCACTTATTGGATGTTTGGAATTGTAGTTGTTTTTTAAAAAAATGGTATCATGTCGGATCTATATAAGTGTTTCAACAAACCCTTATATATATGAATGTTTGGTTCAGGTGTTTATTGAAAAATCAGGCATGTCTCGTAGATTGGGACCCCATCAATGCATGAAACGCCAAATTCAGTGAACTGTTTCCCCCAATTGTTGACTGATGTATATCCTATATGGTGCCTACCTGTCAGCACATGGTGATGAAAATCACTTTACCACAGCATAGTATTTTTCACTGCCTACGTGATAAAAGCGTTTCTTTTTTTAATAAAAAACGGGTTTTAGAAACATTAACATTTTTTCTTAAAAATCAATTCCAAAAAATGCCCACACTTCCAAACACCACCTTAAGTGTCAATGAATTCGACGACTCTTTACTTATGGGGAAGCCAATTCTTACTATTTCTAAAGGGACATATGGATGAACCAACTAGTATTTTTTTTTTAATTTCTCTGTGAATGACAACCCACCTCTAAGTTCATGCAAGTATGTAGGTTGGTGCATATTTTAATTTTATTTCTGAATTGTGGGGTTACTAATTAAAATAAACAGTATGATGGAAATTTGTTTATATAGAAAATAGATGATTAGCTGCAAGTTGAGCTGCCAATGAACAGGATGATTACAGACTGTAATCTTAATATTTGTCAAACTGATAAGAGCTTGGACCAGCAAAGAACTAATCTATGGGCTGAAAGATGCAACACATTGGTGCCATCTCGCCTTAAATACAAAATACTGATTTAGGGGGTGTTCCCAATGTGAATGATTTTATTTTCTAAAATAAAAACAGTTGCCATGTCAGAAAAAACCGCAGTCTTTTGCTGACATGGCGGTTTATTTTGTTAAAAAAACCCAAAACCAACTAAAACATTGTTTGCTGACATTGGCAAACACCCCTCCCCCACCTTAATTCTTAATTGTGATTCAATGTATTTGATTTGGTTTATCAACTCTTTTGACCATTGGTGTTTTAACTCGTTAACTGGTTCTTGCATGTAAGGAATATGCAATTACACTAAGGCTATAAATACAAATTCGTAGAGTACAAAATTTTGAATTTAATATTATTTTATATGTATTTATACTGTATATATTTGTATTTATACTCTTTTCAAACTGAGCCTAAACAATTAGGCTGTCCATTTCGATTCATCCAGTTTGATTGTAATCTGGTCTACCTTGAAAACGTTGTGTATGAAGAAATTTATGAGAATTACTCTTTCACATAATTGGACTAGAAATAAAACTTTTTTTTTAGTTTCTATCTTATTATTATTATTCTCTTAAAGCTTATATATAATTCCTTTAATCAACTACTACTATTCAATGTTTTAGTTGGTAAGGTCAACCAACCCATTTGGCCAATTCAGGAATTGAGCTGATTCAATGTCTTTATCCAATTCGAGAACTGAGCTGAAATGTATCGGGCCCAAATCTTGATTTATGCACTCTGACTGTCTTCTGGTCGATCTTCAAGCATTCACACGTCGTAGGTGAGGGAATTTCTCTTGAACAACTAAACTGAAAATTAATTTCTAAGAACAACCTTTATTTTTTATTTTTTAATTTGGATGGGAAAAAACTGAATAATTTGCAGATTTGTAGCTACTGAAGTTTATCTGGCGAAGAGGATAATTTATCCCCAGGTGATAGTTACAGAAGCATTTAGTATCAGAAACCTTAAAAAAGTCTCCCAAAGAGAGAGAGAGAGAAAATCTGTATAAATGGAACCCAGAAAGTAGCTCTTCAATGGTTGTGGGCTTGTGGGTTCAGATCTTTCTTTCTCTCTCTCCAAGTCTCCAACAGTGGCTCTTCAATGGGTACCTGAACCAAGAAAAGGTAGTAATGGGTCTCCAACAGGGGCTCTTCAATGGGTACCTGAACCAAGAAAAGGTAGTAATGNCTCTTCAATGGGTACCTGAACCAAGAAAAGGTAGTAATGGGTCTCCAACAGGGGCTCTTCAATGGGTACCTGAACCAAGAAAAGG